GTTTAATAACATGTTATTTAGCCTTCATGTGTTTGAATATTTTTGAGTTTTTTTTATAGTGGTTGATTTCTAGTTTCATGCCATTGTGATCCAAGAAGATGCTTGATATGATTTCAATCTTCTTGCTTTGTGCCCTAATATGTGGTTCATTTTTGAGAATGTTTCACGTGCACTTGAGAAGAATGTGTATTCTGCTGCTTTGGGATGAAATCTTCTGTAAATGTCAATTAGATCTAGTGTGTCATTTAAGGTCTCTGTTTCCCTGTTGATTTTTTGTGTCCAGTGATGACAGTGAGGTGCTAAAGTCCCCCACTGTGATTGTATTGCTGTTGGTCTCCCCCTTAAAGTTCACCAAGAAATTTTTTATATATTTAGGTGCTCCAATATGGGTGCATATATATTTACAAGGTTATTTCCTCCTGTTGGATTGATCCCTTTAGTATCTGTCTCTTATACACATCTAGATGTGTATAAGAGACATCTATGCTTCCATGTCATTGAATCTATTCTGTTCATCAGTTTATTAAGTTCTTTAGATTCCACGTATAAGCGAGATCATGTGATGTTTGTCTTTCGCTGCCTGGCTTATTTCACTTAGCATAATTTTCTCCAGGTCCATCCATACTGTCCCAAAGGGTACGAGATTCTTCTTCTTTACAGCTGCGTAGTATTCCATGGTGTGAATGTCCCACAGCTTTTTTATCCACTCATCTACTGATGGGCACTTGGGCTGTTTCCAGATATTAGCTATTGTAAACTGTGCTGCAATGAACATTGGGGTGCATATATTCTTTCTGATTAATGTTTCAGGATTCTTAGGATACATTCCTAGGAGTGGAATCACTGGGTCAAAAGGCAGATCCATTTTTAATTTTTTGAGGAACCTCCATACTGTTTTTCATTTCCTTATTAAAACATTGTTTCGGTCCTTTCTTTTTCATGGACTCCATTAACTTTGTCTTTTAAAGGTGATGTGCCTGCAAATTTTTTCTTGGGGAACTCAATATATTTGGCTATAGGAATAACACTTAAATATTCTTTTCTGGTGTTGTGATAAAAGTTGCATGAGGCTCCATAAGATCACAGTGTGGAGATGAGGAAGGAGACAGTGGCTGAGTCAAGGAATCCAGGTACAAATCCTAGTGTATAAGCACTTTGCAGCTGGATGACCTTGGGGAAATACTTAACCTCTCTGAGATTGTCTTTATCTTTAAAATGGAAATTAAAAGTACCTACTTCATTCAATATTATGTCTTATGAGGATGAAATGAAAAAAAAAAAAGAAAAAAAAAACAGGTAAAATTCTCTGAATATGGTAATTTGTGCTATTAGCCCCACCTGCAAAATATATTTGAACCTGAGTACTTCTACTGTGAATAACTCCCCAATTCAAACCGTATTACTGAAACAGTCTCACTGCAGACTACTGCAATAGCCTTCTACCCCTATTGCTTAACACAGCATCACTCCATCCCCTAAGCAGGTCCATATCTAGTCACTGAATTAATCGCTCTAAATACATCTTCCCTATCCCCATACCAACATGTCTTTCATTTTCAAGATCAAAATTTCAGTGAAGTTGGAAAAACCGTGGTTGAGTGTGGGGTTGGTGTTCCTGCTCTACACTGATGTTTTAAAATCATTATTTTCCCCCTTATCTTTCCCTACTTTAAAATCCACATCATCTAGATTCACTATACTGCCTCAAGTCTCTGGGCCATGTTCAATTCGGCAACCTTTGAAATTCAAAATGTATAATTCTTAATTAGGAGAGCCCATGAGAATGGGGAAGAGGTAAAGGATGAGACAAAGAGAAGCCTTTCAGCTAAAAACATCTTACTATTGCTAACAACCTCCCACTATCATTAAGAACTCCAGTCACTGAGACAGTAATGAACAGTGTAGGAGCAAAAACCGCTGAAAATCTATAACCTAAAACATGTAACAATACTTTTATTCTTTTATAAGAATCATCACATTCTTAGACTTTTTTACTTCTGGCCTTTTACTTTTTAATTTACATACAGTAAAATCACTTTTTAGTGTGTAAGACAGGTATTTTCTATCTGCGTGATTGTACTTGCTAGTTGCCCTCTAACATTTGTTCTACTACTCTTTCTTCACAACAGAGTCCCCAAGATTTCAGCTGGGAACACAGACTCTGAGAATCAAGACTGCATATCTCAAGCTTTTCTTGAAGGCAGATGAGGCCATGACTAAATTCTGCTCAAGATGTATACTGACTCTGCACAGTCCAGGAATGCCTCCTCCAGACTTTTATCAGGGGAGGAATAACTAACTACCTGTCTTGCTAAAGTCTCCATTATTTTAGGTTTACTATAAACAGCATTAACTGACATAGCTACCAAATATCAGTTGCCTCAACAAAACTAATTCTTTGGTATTACATAAGATGCTGCAATCTTAAGTGGAAAAGTCTCAACTGTCAAGATTCTACTATACAGATATCCAAAAAGAATACCTATTATATTCATGCATACCTAGTACCCAGTTCTCTTGGAATTTTCCTCCACATTTTATAGCAGTAAATTTGTTTTACTAAATATAGATACAATTAGTTTGTAATGGGATTTGCATAAATGAACTGTAGTAAGAATATTTGGTATATCTCTCAAAGCTTCTCATGATTAAAAGACAAAATATATGAGACATACATACCTTCAGGTTCATACTTCAGTTTTAACTCATCTATTTTAGCTCTCAGTTTCATATTTTCACTTTGGGAAAACTGGAGGCATCTTTCATTGGCAAAAAGTTTTCGCTCAATATCCAGAGCCCGCTGGCTCTCAAATAATGCTTTCATTCGCTGTATGGACAATTCCCCTTTAGTGCTTTCATTTTCTTTGCTATATTAATAAAAAAGGGGAACCATGAAATACTAAAATAACACAATATAAATAAGTGTAGCTGTTAGTGCAAATCTTTTATTATATATTTGAACCCTTAGTCAAAAAGTATATTTTAAGCTTTAACGATGGCACTTTTAAATAAAATAAAAACCTCATGCATTCTTTAAAGGAAATGGACAAAGGAGGGAAATATTCTTTCCACATTTATTCATGTGTTAATAAACCCCTTTAAATTTAAAATTACATGATATTCTTGAAAAATTTAGATTATAAGAACATTTTCTATGTTAAAGTTCTTTTCATTTACCAATCTAAAAGCTAAAAGGCTAAAATAAAGAAATAAAAACATTTAATTATTCATTAAAAGTATTTTTTCTTCAATAATCAGCACTAATTAAGTCTTGACTAAGTCTTGCATAATGCCCAGAGATATTTTTGTTGCCTTTCCTTTTTGGAATTTTCTTTTGGCAATATTAAACAACAACGTGTAGTCACTAATACTACTTACTATAAACAAGTCAAGGGTCTCCATCTTTCTATCCAACCAACACTTACTTTGAGTTGTCAAGCTTTATCTGAAGTAAATCCGTGTAATAGGTGGTATCATTCGGAACACCAGAGTTGTCTGAAGGCTTAGATTCCATACTTTCATATAAACTCTAAATAAAGCAACAAGTCTTATTATTTAAAATAAATAACAAATTAGGTTAGTATATGTTTATTATTAATAGTATCAGCTACCACTTACTGAATGCTTATCACATAGCAGGCACTGTGCTAACAAGCACTATCCACTTAACTCATTTACCTCCTGAACTAGGCACAAGAATGGTACCCCTCATACACATAAGGGAGCTGGGAAGAATCTGAACCCAGATCTGTCTCCAAAGTGGAAGTTCCTGACCACATCTGTATCCTCTGGTTTCCCTCTCCTTTTAAAATGGAAGAAATAAATACTGAGTTTAATTCTTGACTTTATGATAAAGCCATAAATTAGAAAAATATGAAAAAGAGTGGAGATCCTTGAAGTTATTTTTGGTGCCCACTCTTCTGAGATTTTGATGGAATCCCTGTAAAATTTCTATAGGGTAAAAAATTATAAAATTGCTTAAAAACTTGCAAACAATTTTAAAGATGGCAGGTTAAAACCTCCTGGTTAAAGTTATATTTTTCATAGTATAGTGCTAAGCCCAGTGGTGGGCCACATAAGCCTGCCAATTGATGTACTGCAAATTTGTAGTCCTTTCAACAGTTCTTATAAGAGAAAGAAAAAAGGTTACATACATTTAAAATTTTATAATACACTACTGGCTACAATTTAAAATGCCTAAGAGGTTAACATTTTTAAAAATTGTCATTTATAAACTTTAATTAGTTATTTAGATATCTGTGCTCCCAAAGTTAATTTATAAATTTAATGTAATTCTAATAAAAAATACCAATTAGCTTTTTTGGGAGCTATACAAGATGATCACAGAGAAAAACAAACATGCAGGAGTAGCCAGGAAAACATTGAGACAGAAAAGCTATTCCTGTCAAAAATACATATCCTGCCCTGGCCAGGGTGGCTCAGTTGGTTGGAGTGTCATCTCAGACACTGAAAGATGGCGGGTTCGATCTCCAGTTGGGGCACATACGGGAGGCACTGATCGATGTTTCTCTCTGACATCAATGTTTCTCACTCTCTCTCTCTCCTTTCCTCTCTCTAAAATCAATGAAAAACATATCCTCAGGTGAGAATTAAAAAACAAAAACAACATATCCTTATTCTAATCACTTCACACAAACCAAAACGAGGAATAAACTACAAAGTGACTAGCATATGCTTCAAAAATATAAGGTGATGACTGATAAAGATTGAAGAATTGTTCCAGATTAAGGGAGACTAAAGAGACTTGATAATTCAATACAATGTGATCATGGACTGGACCCAAGGAAAGGAAACGATCTGGTGTATTTTTGTTTTGCTGTAAAGGACCTTAGTAGTAATTAGCAAAGTATAAGAGGTAGCTTTGCTAATGCTATGTGTCAATGTTAATTTCCTGATTTTGATCACTATTGTGGTTATGTAAGAGGATGAACTTCAATAGCACTGAGGTACAATTTACAGGAAAAGGAATATCTGGTTTGCAACTTACTCTAAAACGCTTAAGAAAAAATAAATGGAGAGAAAGAGAAAGACAGAAAAAATAATAAAGCAAATGTGGTAAAACTGACAACTGGGGAATCTGGGTAAAAAGTATACAGGAATAACTTTACAACTTTTCCAGGAATCTGAATTTATTTCAAAAAATTTTTAAGAAGTAGTTTATTAAAGACGCCTATGAATTCCAACTGCCACACATTGTTGGACAATGTGACAAAAGCACCTCCTGTGCATCCATTAAAAAATGGAGCTGGACAGCACTGAAAAATGATCACTTACTGATAACATGCAACATGAGAACAAATCTCACTGGCTGAACGTTGAAGACAAACAAAAGAGTATATAATGAATGATTCCATTTCTCTGAAGCTCAAGAGTATTTGTACATTTAATGCTGATTTAAAAAGAGACATTAAAACTCATTGAATTACACACTAAAGATGTGGACACTTTAAGTTACAACTCACACATAACAAGTATGAGGGAGGTTAGTTTATTCTGGCCCTACTAAAAGAAGCAACAGTCAAAACCAGTGAAAAGGAAAAAGAAACTAGAAGAAAAAAATTAAAATATTGGTCAATCTCAACTGAAACTATAAATTATTATGTAAAGAAACCTATTCAAGTAAAGAGTATCAAGATATTCAACCTAAAATTTGGCTGTGTTTTTAAAAGGTGTTAAACATACCTTAAATTTCTCCAGATTTCTAATTTCACCTAAGAGATGCTTGATTTCACCATTCTTCTGCTCCAACATGGCAAACAACCGTTCCTGCTGCTCAAATTCAGTTTGAGACCCTTTCATTTGTATCAATGTGGCGATTTGTAACTAGAGGGAAAAAAATCACCCCCCCATAAAATTGAGTGTGGGGGAGAAAGATTCTGATAACCATATTTTTGATAAAATCATATGTTGTACTATATTAGCTTGAACTCATTTTGGAAATTAAACTAATTAGCTATTTCTAGTCTAATAATCTAATAACTTGGAAACATTTATATCAGTAAGTTTAGTTACTTATTTTGACTTATGAGTGGTATCTGAAGTCCTAACAATTATTTGCACTTCTGTGAAACATAACTGAGCTGCATGGCTATGTTCCGGAAGCAACTTAACAGGTAAATAAGCCTGGACTAAGGCTGTACTCTACTCATCATATGCACTCTCATTAGGGTCTCATGAGGTTTCTCCCCAAATTTTAATTAACTTCAATAGTATTAAGTGGGGGAAATTATTAAGGTACTCACATTCATAAATGTGAGATTCAGAAAGCACAAGGAAGGAAAGGAAAGGGTAAAAGGCAGTCTAAGGATAATAAGGAAATATTCAAAATAAATATAATTTTTTAAGGGCAATTAACTTACCTAATTATGACCCCACTTAAACCTAGAGTTGCATAGCAATAAAAAGGAAATTAGCTAAAATCTATACTAGCATTTCTTTCTGCCTTCAGAAATTTCTGGAGTTCTATGAAGTGTCAATTAGTTTAAATATAATACTGAGTAAAGCAAGCAATGATATGGGGGGTGGGTATGGTTATAAGGAAGAAAGAAAGATGACTCCTAACACTTTACAGGATCCATTTTTGTTCCTGCTTCAGACTAGAGGCTAGACACACTTAGCCTAAGAAGATCCAGAATGCTACTTGTGCCTCAAGATAGTTTGGGATATCATGAGAACGCTGGGAGATTAATAGGAGGAGCCCAACAAATACTGAATGAAAACAAAGAGCAAATGTGAGAAAATTTACAAAGAAATCCTTTCCCAAAAGGGGAGAGCCTCAGTAAACCTGGCAGCACAGTCAAAATTCTTAGAAGAGCCATGGCTATTGGTTATTAAGTAGCACTTTCTTATTTGCCAAGCACCATGTAAGCATTTCTCTATGCTTTCGCTTAACTCCAGGACAATTCTAAGAGGCAGGTTCTATTACCTCTCCTTTACAGATGAGGTGACTGATGCTCTGAAAAGTAAAAATACTTGCCCAAGATCACACAGCTAGCAAGTGACAGCATGAGGATTGAATCCCAAGTTCATCTAACACCAAGGTTTAATCACTGGCCTTTCCTACTTCTTTGGTCGATCTCATTAGCCTGCCAGGCTGAGTTACCCCCTTAGGAGAGTCAGGCACAACAGATCTGGGATTGGAATTCTAAGGATGGTATAACAGTGAAATCTTTCCGAGTTTCACGTTTTTCTGTTACCACTTAATTGCCTAAAATGATGACCAACAAACCCTTAAAATGAAAAGGGCCTGTATGCTTGACTTGAGAAATTGCAAGGAAAAGTAATCCAAATATTACTCTATATATAAGCTTTTGGGGGAGAACTGAAGAATGATGAGAGAGCTATTTTAGTTGAAGTAGATACCTTAGGGCTATGCTAAAAAGACACCAAGCCAACAGCAAGAAATAAAAACATATAATTCTTTTTGTTCCTATTCCACAAAGAAAGATTTATACCTCTGTGGCAAGGCTAGTGAGTAACCATTAAAAAATCAATCAACCAATGAGTATGAAATACAATACAACTAAATCTTTACAAAGGATTTAAAAATATATAACTGGATCTTTTGCTCAATTTAAAAATATTGATTTTCTAAAATCATGCAGTTTTAGAAATAACCTTGTTAAGTACACTCCTTGTCGGAAAAGATGCTTTTTCTTTGATATATCTGTACAAGTAATGGTGATAAAAAATGGGTTTAGTAAACCTTTGATGGTGATAATTCTATACCTTCATTCTTTGCATCTGTTCTCTATTAAATGCATTTTGCTTCTTTAGTGACTGATACTTGACTTTCATACTGATAAGCTGACGTTCCATTGCTGCCCTTCGATCTTCCACCTAGAAAATATTAACGTTTAATTATGCTTGTATTAAGTGAAATGTCAATTTAATCAATGGAATGTTTCTAAGTACCTCTGCAAACAAAGAGTTGCCTTTACTATTGGGATCCAGGGCTTGCTGGAGTGCCTGGTCTAATTGCACTTGAAGATCTTGATTTGCTACACGAGCTTTCTAAATTCAAAAGAAAACAATTTAGCTTATAGATTACCAAGAAAACAACTTATTATAAACTGAGATGATGATACTGCAATAATACCTCTAAGGCATTATAGTAAGACACTGCTTCTTTCTCTCTCTCCTCTTTTTCTTCTGTAAGCCGGTCGACCTGGCGCATTAAATTAGTATTAAGGAGTTCTAGTTGTTCTTGTCTGTACTGTAGTTCATTCACTTCTTCTTTGAGGGTGGTCTATTCAACAGAAATTAAAAAAGAGGAAACTCTTGAATAATTCTGTATTTAGCAGCTGCTCAGTTTATCTATCAGCAATGATTCACACCTAAAACTAAAGAACTAAAGGTTTTAAGGTGCATAATGAAGTAATAAAAATTACTAAATTTTTCAGCAGGTGACAAAAAAAAGGGTATAGAGACTGTCCTTCTTTCCTATGAATTTAAGGCTTTAATTTTTAATTAACCTTAGCCTGCAATGAAAAAAAACTACATTTCTATTAATTTCCAAGGGACCAACATTTTATATTGGGCTTTTGAAAAAAAATGATACAAACCAGAATCAGAGTAAACATTTCTAAATTCTTCCAGAGGTTTCATTAATCTAAAGATAAAGTCTGTCTTACACAATCATGTAATTTAAAGCTTTACTATGCATGAAGTAATCTACCTAAAAACTTGGTAAAACACTTTTTTAGTTAGATCAAAGTCTGGCCAAACAATAATTCAGCCTTACAACTAGCTCATAAGGATTATTATAAAAACATGTAAAACATATGCAAGAAAAAAAGAAAGAAAACCTGGGGACACATGTGCTATAAAAATTACCTTCATACTTTCCATTTCGGTCAGTTCCACTTGAAGAGCCAGCACCTCTGAAGACATGCTTTCATGTACACGCTCAGACATTATCCGCATTTCCTCTGATTTACAAGAGAGGAGTTCCTTCTGATAATCCACTTTGTGCTTCAGCTGCTTTTCACTAAGCCTAGCTTCATCTAATTCCGCTTTCAGTTTTTCTAACTAAAGTTAAAAAATAAAAGGACAACTTTATTAATCAAGAGGTAACTGAAGGTCATCAGAACATACAGTTGCAGTACAAATTGTCTTGGTACCTCTGGGATAACTATTTTGGAAGACAGTCAACCTGAACAAAACTATTTAATAACTTTCTAAAATGTCACATAGTTTCAAATCTTGGAAAACTAAGAATACACAACTTTACAGGGAACAAACTTATAGCAAAAGGGTGAAACTTTAGGGTCAGGCCTAGATGTAATCTGTGTCAGTTTCATTCCTCATATGTAAAACTAGTAAATGACTATACCTACCATCACAACTCTCAACGTAGGCTCTCAACTGAGATTGCGTGGGTAAAACCTCAGCACCATGCCTGGCATTCACTAAGTGGCTCCTGTTATCAATAAAAAGCTTTTGCTTGTTGTTCAGGGTTATGATTATCTATATTGAATTATCTTCAATAGGGTTTCAACATTCTTAGAATATATCCTGAATTTTATTTATTTATTTTTATACTTTATTAAATTTATTGGGGTGACACTGGTTAATGTGATCATATAGGTTTCAGGTATTGATTTTTATGTTACAATATCTGTATATTGCATTGATTTTATTTTCATTAAAAAAAAATCAGAGCCCGGCCAGTGTAGCTGAGCTGTTGAGCATCGACCTATGATCCAGGAGATCGCAGTTCAATTCCCAGTCAGGGCACATGTCCGGGTTGTGGGCTCAATCCCCAGTAGGAGGTGTGCAGGAGGCAGCCAGTCTATGACTCTCTCATCATTGATGTTTTGTTCTCTCTCTGAAGTCAGTAAACACATATTAAAAAAAAAAAAAAAAATCAAAGCCTCTTAGCTTGATTTGTTTTCCCTTTCTATTTTCATAATGTGAAATAAAAATATCACCTGAATAATTTATGTGGAAACATGGCCATCTTTCTGAAATATATCACTGACTGACTCAAACTTACTGCATGATGAGACTATTGGGGTTTCATATTTGGCCAATGTTAGGCATCTTTTAAGATAGTGACACGCCTTGTTTTATAAATATACAAATAGTCCATAGAAGTAATCAGGGTAGGTCTGGATTCCTGACACCTTGGGTTTCTGTGTAAAGAATGAATGGTATAAACAGCAGTGATAGAAGCAGGCTACCACAGGAGTCTAGGAGAGAGATAATGGTGATCTGAACTGGAGTGGCATAGGTATGGGTGGATGTTTTGTAGGTCAAATTCTTAGAACTTACTGATGGGTTAAATGTGAGAATTAAGTAAAAGGTAGCAAATAAAGCTCCAAATTTTGGGCACAAATAATTTGAGAACATCAATAAGACTGAAAATACTTTTTGACTGATTTAGTATTTGTTCCACCAAAAAGCCATGTCTATAATTAGCCTTGCCTCAGTCTCTGAATATTTCCTAGATTACTCTTTTTTGTTTAGGTAATGAAAGCTACTTCGAAAATGAAAATAATACCTGCAGCGAGGGAAGCACCATTATCAGTCATTGGTGTCTCAACTAAGACTAGTTTCAGACAAGCTGGATTACTATTTGGCAGAGTGGTATGTGAGATAATTCCAGGTATGATGCAAAAGTATATTTTGATAGGTATGTTTGTACTGCATATTAGATAAAATATGCCATTTCATAGATGGTACTAAGAAAATCTTCATCACCTAAAGTTTGCAGATTGCTGCATAAGCATGTAACATTTTGTTCTGAAATACATAGATATCCAAACCTTATTTTTCAGTTCATTCACTTCCTGTCCATGGGTTCTGCTCAGCTGCTCTTCTAATTTCTCCAGATGCATCTTTTGATCTTGTTTAATAGCTTCGCATTCAGAGCTCAAACTTTCTAACATTCGACTCTTGAGCTCAACTTCTCTCTGAAGAGTGTATTTTTCTTGTTCATAATTCTGAAATCAGATTATAATTCAATTGCATAAAAAAAACTTAAAGCCATCACATATAAGCAGTTCTCACCTTCAACTGTTTCATTTCTGCTTTATACATTTTCTGCTTTCTAAGTAACAACCACGTTAAATTGCGAATAACTTTGTAGCTAATCAGTCTTAAAAAATTGAAAACCTCCTAAGAAGTATTTTGAGACTATATTTGAGTACATTCTAGGGATATGGAAACTGCTTCTATACCCTGGTCAAGGAAGTACAAAGTATACCATGGCATGTCAATGTGTCCAGTAATCTCTGCTAGAAAAGTAAAAAATTAATAGCACTGAAGGTTTCCTAGTTGAGAATTACTTGTTTTGATAATGATATGCTATTTGTAGCTATAAACAAAATGAAGAAACATTGGACTAGGGATACAGTGAAATACTAAGTCAGCCCTCACTTTTAGAATGTAGTCATCTAAGAAATGTTCACAAATGACTCTCTGAATGAATACAGTGCTGAGAGAAAAGGAGTATTTAATAGGACTTTTGCTTACTGACTAGAAAGCTTAAAGATAAAAGGGGTATCAGTTCAAACTTCTTCAGCAAGCTTTAAAAAATAAGATAAAATAAAACTAAATTAAATAAAAGAGATAAATTTAAAAGAACTGCCATTAGTTTATTAGTTATTTTTACCCACAACATTTAAATTTTGAGATCAAAGTTTACATATATTACCGAGCATTTATAAAATAAAACGGATTTATTCATTCTTTCAATAAATGTGTGCCAGACACTGAGGATACAACAGTGAACAAGACAGACAAAATGGCTTCTCTCATGGTGCTTATAATCTGGAGATAACTGGCACTGCAGAGAATTGAGAGAGTGAATGATGGAAGCTTTACAATATAGTCAGGGAAAGGCCTCTCTGCTAAGGTGACATCTAACAGAAACCAGAAGGTAGAGAACTCAATCCATGCAAGTGGGGTATGAACAACTCAGATGGAGGCAAAGGCTCATGTAAAGCCCGTAAGGCAGGACTAGTACAACTAAGAACAAGGGAAAGTAAGGTAAGGTTAAAGGTTTGAGGTAAGGTCAAAGGTTGGCAGGGTTCGGATCACACAGGGAGCTGCAAACCCAGATAAGGAGTTCGGATTTTGTTGTAAATATAATTGGAAGGCAGTGTTTTTTCAGTGGGGCTGTCACATGATCTTTTGTATATTCTTCAATGACCAGTTGCCTGCTATGTAAAGAATAAATGGTATGAACAGAAATGAGGGAAGCAGGCAACCTGGTTAGAAGGCTACAGTAGTAGTTGAGAGAGAGAATGGTGGTCTGCACTACCCGTGGCAGTAGTATAACTGAATGTTTTCTACGTCAAGTTCTTAGAACTTACTAATGGATTAAATACGAGAAAGAAGGGACAAAAAGGTATTGAGTTAAGACTACTACATTTCTGGCTCAAGCAACAGGGTGAATGTCATTACATTTACTAAATAAATAAGCTAAAGAAAATTGCAAGAGAATATTTGGATGTTTGGTTAGTGGGCAGGGAATCAACTCTTCTGTTTATATTAAGTTTGAGATGTCCATTAGCGGGCAACTGAATACACAGTCTAGACTTCAGTGAAGAGCTAAGGACTTGGTGTAGAGTCACGGAGCACTTAGATGTTATCTAAAGCTATGAAACAAGTGAGGTCACCTAGGAAGAGTACAGACAAAACAAAACCTACAATCTAATATGTGGTGAAGAGAGCAATCATAGCTTGACTTTCCAAACTCAGAACACCCTGGGTCAGAAAGAACATCAGGAATTCATTTAGTTCATTCCTCTTTATTGGGGATAGGGGTGGGTGGGAACTAGATCTAAAATCTTCAGAAAGGAATAAAAATAATATTAACAATAATTGCTAGACAGCACAAAGCTTCAATAGCTAAGCACACCCTTGTAAACAGAAGAGTTTAGAGTCTTACCTCAGTTATGGTCATCATTTCATTACGACATTTATCTAATTGTGTCTGCAATTCGTTTTGGCTCTCCACTAGCTGTAAACCATACTGTGCAGCTTTTAGTCGCTCTTCTTCAACCTCTTTGAGCTTGCATCGAAGGTCTGCAATTATATCAGCCTCCATAATTTTTTCCTGTTTTTAGTCTACTGTAAAAGAAAATAAAAGCACTTAAGCTTAAACAGAAAATTCCATATAATATCAATTAAAAATATATACTTGCATATGTAATTCAATACCACTGCCTTATAAAAACATGGTATTAAAGATTTTCTTCCTGACTTTTAAGTGGTCACATTTATATTCTTGTTCTAAGACTGTCTGATGATTTTATCACCTGATTTGAGGCCAAATCAAACAGAGCAAAAAATGAATATATTTAAGTTTGCTTCTGAGAAATGCAGTTATCAGGAAACTTTATTTGTTGTGTGCTAAGTTTCCTCAAATGCTAAGGAAGGGCGGGTCTCATAACTTTATCATTATACAGATAATCAAGGTAAAACAATGAAAGAAATCAAGAAACTTTATAGTAGTGTGATTGCTACTTAGCATATAAAGAGGCAATGCAAGAACTATCATGTCCACAATTTTTTCAAAACAGTGTTAACTTCCTGCACAAATTAGATTTGCCACATTAAATATGCTTTATTGAAAATAGACTCACTAGTATTTTCCTATTCATAAGAGGGCACAGAAAACAGAAACCATGTTCAGAGGAATTAAAGAACATTGCTGTCATTTTAGATTTGCAAGCAAGGACTTTATATAGAAACATCTCACTTTAACTCAACCTTACTTAACATCCTTTCCAGATTGGTGTCGGCCTCTTAGGCCAGACTCAACTCAGCTTTGCCTTCAAAGAGCAACATGCCATTATTAAGGTGTTCCCTGATGCCCCCAGTCAATGTAGTCAGGTATTTCATGAATCCCTTATATGCTGGGCTCCATTCTGGCCACTTCAGATACATCAGAGGTCAAACAGACCAAAAAGAAAAATGTTCTTCTTTTCATGAACTTACCTTCCAGTGGGAGATAATAGCATAATAATTAGAATATAATAAGTAATTAGAAAGCAAAAATGGGGGGAAAAAAAGAACAGGATAAGGGAAAAGAGGTGAAGGTATTATTACTAGGATGAAATTTAAAATAAGTATTAGAGTGGGAGGAGGCCCTCAGGAGACTTCTGAGCAAAATCTTGCAGAGAATTGTCCATGTACCTATTTAGGGAAAGAATGTTCCAGACAGAGGGGTAATACTAACATAGAAGGAAGCCCAAAGAACGAACAAGATACAGTTTAGATCAGAAGACTAAATAGCGGAAAATAGGCAGGATCCAGGCCATTGTAAGGTCTTGGTCTTCTATTCTGGGTGAAATGGGGAATGATTGAAAAGTCTGGAATAGAGATCTGGTATATTTAAAAGGATCATTTGGCTGCTATGTTGAACAGTTTGGAGGGGAGTAAGTTGGATGCAGAAAGACCAGGTGAGATGACTGCTCACACGAGGGTGACTGCATAGGTGAAAAATGGTCAAATTCTGCATATATTTTTAAGGTAAAGCCAACATGATTTTTTGACAAATGGAATGTGGGATGTGTGCAAAAGTAAAAAAATGCCTCCAGGGCTTCTGGCCTGAGCAACTAGTAGAATAGATTTGCCATCACCTGAGGCATCAAAAACTGAATAAAGATTGTTTTGGAAAGAAAATCAGGGACTTAAGAGTTAGATGTGAAGTATGTCAAGTAAGCAGTTGGCTATATGAGTAGAAGGGTCTGGGCTGAAGATATACATTTGGGAGTTATTAGCACAAATCCTTGAGCCTTGATATCACCAGAGTATGAGCATAATTAAAGAGAAGGCGGCCAAGGAGTGAGCCCTGATAAGAGAGAAAAAAGAAGACAGAAAAGTATACTCAGGTATGACCACTGAGGTAAGAATAAACCCAACAGCATGTGTTGTCCTGGAAGCCAATAAACAAAAGTGCAATAAGGAGGTACATGTGATCAATTGTACCAAACGCTAAGTCAAATAAGAACTGAGAACTGGCCATTGGATTTGAATTCAAGGAGGTCATCCTGACCCTGAGAGCAGTTTTGGTAGAGAGATGGAGACAAAACCCTGACTGGAATGAGTTGAACAAAGAATGGTAGAAGAATAGAAGACAGCATATACGGTTTTGCTGCAAAGGAGAGCAGATAAATGGGGCAGTAGCTGGAAGGGAAGTAGAGTCAAAGATATTTTGTTTTATTTTTAAGACAAAAAATTTAAGAAAAAATTATTAAAATAAAAATTTTGAGAAAAAATTAAATTATGCATGTATGCTGGACAGATCCAGGAGAGAAGAAAAACTGATGATACAAGAGATACAGAGAACTGCTGGAGTGATGAATAAAGAGGACAAGGTCTAATGTACCGGAGCTGATTTTAGACAGAAGAATCTAAAGGAAGGGAAGCAAAGTCTGTCAGCACAGACATTGATAAGTACGTAGATACAGTGGTGGGAGTCTGCATAAGTGCCTTTCTAACTACTTCAAATTTATCTGTGAAGTAGGAAGCAAGGTCTTTAACTCAGAATGAAGACAAAACACTTTAACTGAGAATGAAGATAAAAGAAGAGATATAGGGTTTTATGAGAGAGAGAGAAAGAGAGAGAAAAGATTCTACATTATCCAAGACTGGCAGCTACTACTCTAAAATGCAAGACCTTTCCAAAGCATGTACATGATGGGGCCACCTGCTAATTTTTGTTGCACTGTTAAAATAACAAACTTGTTGAGGATTTACCATTTGCCAGGCACAGTACTTCAAATGTATGATCTCATTAACTCTCTTGAGAGGCCCGAGTTACCAACATTTACCAAAGAAAAAATGGAGCTAGCCTCAAGACATCCCAGCCAGCGACGAACGTCCAAGGAAACCAAAAAATTATCTCGTTCATTCAAAGGATTTGCTGGAATTCCGATTATGTGGCAAGTACTGTGCTATTGCTAACACAGTGGTGACCCCAAAACTAGACAATATCCCTGCCTTCCTGAATTCCACAGCCTATGAGTAGGAAGGTGTTAAATAACTGAACTGTAAAGTTACAAGTGTGATTAAGTGCAATAGGGAGAACTGCATGGTGCTATGTGAGCCTGTAACACAGGGAAGCTGTCCCATTCCTGGTAGTGTGTGGTGGGTGGGATGGGGGGAATTGGACAATAGAGATTTCCCTGAGGAAGTGACTTTTCAGCAGAGGTCTAATGGATGAGCGAAGAGTTAATCTTTCAATCTGCAAAGAAGTAGCCAGGGTTGAAAAACAACCACAGCTAACATGTGCCAGATATTGTGCTTTGCATACTTTATTTTGTTTAAACCACTCAACCACCCCAAGAAATAGAAGGTATTTCCCCCTTTCACACATGTGCAAACTGAGGCATGGAAAGGTTAACTAATTTGCCCAAAGTTTCTCGGCTAGTAGGTGGCTAAGGGAGATTGGAACCAGGGTCTCGCTCTGCAGGCTGGGTCCGGCTCCTAACCAGTTTCTGTTCTGCCTCTCACAAGCATGGCATGCACAAAGCGTTTAGGAGACTGGAAGCTCTGGGGATCAGGCTGCTCGCGTTCTTACCCCACCATCCACTACTCAGTGGCTGCGTGAACCTGGGCATCTTACTAATTGTCTTGTTCTGTCATCCATAAAATAAGGGCAATAACATCTACCTACCTACCAGGGCTTTTGAGATTAAACCAGCCAACGGGTGAAGAGCAGTTAGGGCGGAATCCCACACACAGCTGTCTGGGGCAGCGCGGTCCAACAGAAGAAGAAAGCGAGCCACTTACGTGATTTTTAATTTTCAAGCAGACACATTAAAAAAGGTAAACACCACTGAAATTCATTTGAATGATGTTTTACTTAATCCAATACATCCAGAATATTATCATTTCAAAGTGTAATCATTTATAAAAATTATTAGGGAAATATTTCTCTTTTGTATAGTCTTCGAAATCCGCTGTGTAGTTTACATCTATAGCATTTCTCATACTGGAGAGCGCAGCCGTGGCGTCTTTCGGAGGCCCAGGCGGCCCCCGGCCTCGGCCGTCCATTTTCATGCAGAATCCCCGGGGCCGGCGCGGCGGCCCAACGGCAAACTGAAACCGACTCGGAACCTGGACAAGAACTCAGGGTTCCGCAGAGGCTGCTGCTCCGGCGAAAGGCCCCAGGTTTCCTCAGGCCCTCTCCCTCCCCTCCCCCGCCCCGAGGCCCTTCCTACGCCGCTCCCCACCGCACCTTCCGCCAGGCCCTGTGCCCCTACCTCTGCCACTCCTCTCCCCTGCCGCTGCTGCGGGCCGCGGCTGCACCGAGAGCTCACTGCGCCCAGGTGTGCGAGGGGGACCCAGCGCGCCAGAGAGACCTCAGCCGATTCGCGCAGCCGGCTCCGGGTAAGCGCCAAGGCTGTTTGAATGCAGTTCCCGCGGGAACACTCACTTCTCACGAGAAGTTCCGCTCAAGCCGCACGTAAGGAAAAAAAAAAAACTACAGCGTCCCACGGAGTGCTCCGCCCACTTGCTGCGACTGCGCAGGTGCGAGCGGGAGCTGAGAGCGCGGTGTAGGTGCAGGTGTAACTGCTCGTCCCCTCAACTTTACTCAGCGTTGGTTTCCTGGGTGTCTGCCAGGTCTCTGCCTCTCTTTGCTGGGGGAAGTGTGTGTGAGTGTGTGTGTGTGAGTGTGCGTGTGTTTACTCAGCATTGGTTTCCTGGGTGTCTTCCAGGTGTCCGCTTGTATTTACTGAGGGGGAGTGTGAGTGTGTTTTAAACGACGGTACCTTCTGGAGAGACAGTGTCGCTAGAAGGTGAGGCAGTGGGCAAGTGTGTGTGAGTGTGTGTGTGTGAGTGTGTGTGTGCTTACTCAGCATTGGTTTCCTGGGTGTCTTCCAGGTGTCCGCTTCTATTTACTGAGGGGGAGTGTGTGTGTATTTTAACCGACGGTACCTTCTGGAGAGACGGTGTCGCTAGAAGGTGAGGCAGTGGGCAGGTGTGTGTGTGTGAGTGTGTGTGAGTGTGTGTTTTAAACCCCAGCCCCTCCTGCAGAGAGAGCGTCACTGGAAGGTGAGGCGCGGGCAGCTCCGAGGGTGCCGCCTCACACCCCGGCTCGCTCCCAGGGCTCTTCCCTCCGGCGCCGACCACGTGGTTCCATGACCCCGACTCGGCGTGACCCGGCCTAGACGCGTCGTAGGGCAGCGCCGCGCCACCCGTACGGGGCAGCCTGGTGGTTACTGTCATGGTTGATACTTGATGCTTCCCCAGGGGCCAGGACAGGGCTGCAGCTTACACGGGCTACCTCAGTTAAGCCTGGTGAGGTACGCGTCGTTATCCCCTCTGCCTACAGAGGAAAGCAAAGCCCGGAAGAGAAGTGTCTAGGCCCAGTGGTAGAATCAGAACTGCAACGAATGCATTCGGCTGCCAGGGTCCAAGCTCTTGCGTGTGTGTTGAAATAATGGGTTTGTCTTTTGTAAGCCTGATACCCATTCATTATTCAGAAATTTAAGGAATCAGAAATAATGGCTAGCATCTGATGAGCACTTCCGAGTCCTACCAGCTGTTCCGTGGATCACGTGGCGGGTTTCAGACCACGTGGACATGGGACAGAGGTGATGGCTCTGGTTGAGTTGCCCCGTAGGCCTTGGGGTGCCTCACCCTCCTTGCTTTCTCCTTCTCAGCTTCCTTTGCAGGCTTCTGTTTCTGATTGAGCTAAGCCAGACCATAAAGGATTGATCTGGGTTCACTGAGTGCATTCAAGGGGTAGTTACCAAAATCAAAGAAGCTACTCATGTCATAATTAAGGTCATTTTTAAGGAACTGTCTGGATGGAGTACACCCACTACCACCACTGGACACTAGATGTCACAAGTGAAATGAATTCTTGATGGTCCTTGCTTGTCTGGATAAATTGCGTTAAGATTCACTGTACACCTGAAACTAGTATAACATTGAATGTCAACTGTAATTGAAAACAAAAGGACAAACAAGCAATTAGTCTATATTCAAAAAAAAAAAAAAAGCCACAGTTCCAGATGCAGGTCCACATACCACGCACTAAATGTCAAAAATCAGGGGGAAAAACATGTATCTGTCATTATCAGTTTACATAATGAGAGATGTGATTTTTGTCTCCTCACACAGAATGGTGGATTCACCAAGCAGAGCAAGGGAATTTTGATGCTGGGAAACAACACCTCACACACACCCCACAATACAATTCCCAATGGTATAGCTGTTCAAAACCAATTGACTGCTGTTGTAAACTGGCCAACATTTCTTCACTGTGACTGCTTTAGTGCAATGAGAGCATTGGTAGGGAATGTTGCCTTATACTGAAAGCTGTGTATATTTTGACATGAAGTTGTTGATTAAGTTTGGTTTTGCTGACTAGGTTTGGTTTTGGTAGCACAGCTGACTAGTCTCTGTCCTCAGGCAACTTAGAATTTAGTGCAAGGGGCATTTACCAAACAATAAACCTTTACTCAGAATGTGGCTTAGACTTTCTTGTTCCTTCATATTATCAAGTAAAGCTCCAAGCTAGCCTGTTTGGGGTCAAGCAAGAACAAGCCAAGGGCTGTGAGACACAACGTTTGCAAATAAGAACTGGGTTCATTTGCAAATTTTCATGATGCATAGGATGGGCTAGGATATGAAGTGTGTGGTACGTGAAACCTGGAGAATGGCTGAGATAAAGAAAAGAGGTGAGGGGACAAGAAGGGGAGGGGGAGAAGGGGGCAGGGGAAGGGAGGGAAAGAGAGGAGAGGAGACGAGGAGAGGACACTATGTGCAGGACTTTAGTGACTGTACTAATTCACGGAACAGGAGAAGGATCTGACAGAAGAAACAGAAGAGCCATGTGAAAGGCCATTAGGAAATTGAATTGTCACAGCTGCCTATGTGATAATGTGATACCAAAATGAATAATTATACCAGGAGACAGATTTGACCATTTAATAGTAGTAATGACAATGACAGCCCAGTCTGCAGTCTCTCCTGGCCCTGCTACCTATAGCACCAGCTTTAAGAATTCGTGGGCCCTGTTGCTATGCTCCTTTTCACCTGCTAGCTACAGTCCTCACTCAGAGGTGCACCATTCCAATATTGTGGATCTTTATTGGTTAAATTCCCAGCATCAACTCCCTCCTCCTTTTTCTGCCAAAATCATGCTTTTTTTTCCTTCTTTCTTCCAGCTTCATTGAGGTATAATTGACAAATAGAATTGTATATATTTAAACTATACAGTGTGCCAATTTGCTAGATGTGTATATTGTGAAATTATTACCCCACATCGTTGCCTTTTTTCTTTTTGCTACCTTTGAGAATGCTTAAGATCTACTCACGTGCGCAATACAATATTATTAACTATCAAAAGCATACTGATTATTCTTTGGGTATTTCATCTTTCCCTCCATTTTTGGCCATGTGGATTGTTTAAAATTGATCCCACCCTTCAGCTTTAGGGTATTCCTGTCACTCTGGTTATACTAATCGATTCAGAGATGTGCATGTGACTGAATCCATGTCAATGAAATAAAATGAGATATTCACCAGGACTGCTGGGAAAATGGACTTTTTTAACCCCTTCTGTACTTAAACTTTTCAGCCCAGAGTTGCCCACTGCCATCTTGGGTCCATGAAACTTAAGTCTGCTTGAAATAGTATCAAAAGCAGAGCTGATAAATAGACAGGAAGAAAAGGGCTCTGGTCCTGTTGTTTGGGCCCTACGTGAGGCTCCTCTTGAAGCTCGAGTTATCTCTAAACTGTTTCATTTTTACTCAAGTGGATTCAATTTGAGTTTTTGTGTTACTTGCAACTTAAAGAGTTTTAAGCAATGCAATCAATAATACTTATGTCTGGTCTTTAGAGGACTGATTAACCTGTCAAGTACTTATTCTACATTTAGGATTTTATGAGGCTAACACTGAAAGTTGCTAACTTCAGTTAGGATCTAGTGATGGCTCCTCTGAGAATAATGCCTTGGTTGAACCAGAAGGAAGGTTTATCCTAAATGAGGGCACCTAATGTATATAGTGGAGGAAAGTAAGGATCCAAACAGCTTGTATGTAATCCCTCTCTTGGCACCACATCCCATTCTTCCCATTACCATTATGTCCCTGTTAAGCTGACTTCTTCAGGTGATTTTACCACCTAAGCCATTTAGAGTTAAGACTGCATATTTATATCAGTTATGATTTTACTTGCCAAGAATAGTACCCATTCTAGTTAATTTGATATATATGCATATAAAAATGCTGGCGTCCTAATTTTTTCAGCTATTCAGAAGACTATAGTTGCTATTTATGACTTTCCTATCTTCCAGTACCCATTACACTTTCCTTTTATTTTCTGACATTACCTCAACTAATTGAGGCTCTTTATCCAGTACAGTGACCCATATCTACACTGCTGAATAGAACATATTCACTGATGGTTTATATTACTTACTCTTCTGTTGGCCCCAATTTATGTGCTATGACTCAAAGTGGGATGGGATTAAATTTAGGCTCCTGCTCTTTCTCTGAGAGCTTGATACTGTCATACTACTTTTCTGTGTGTGTGTGTGTATGTATGAATGAATTCAGTAGGAAGAAGTATAACTGACTTGATGCTGTAATGTTTAGTTTAATGTATTTTATTCCTAGGAAAAACAACTTGGGAGCATACAAGTAAAAGGGGAAATTGATAAATCAGCACCTCCAGGTAAGCAGCTGAATATACCTGTTCAGTAATACTCGCCTATAAGCTATCTCCTGCTTGTTACCACTAGGTGACAGTATGTGCAAATATTTTATCTGAAGGGAGGGTCTTTCTGTTAAAGAAATTAGATTCTGTTGGTAGAGATGGTTACCTTCCTAGTTTCAGCTAGAAGAGTAGCCAAACACACACATCTGTTACAACCTTAGTCATTTGATAGCATCGTTATTTCCTATCTGAAACACTCTTCTCCTCCTACTTAGTAGTTTACTCCATGCTATAGACAGAATCGGTCCCCCCCCCAATTCATATGGTGAAGCCCTAACCCCCAATATAACTGTATTTGGAGATAAAGGCTTTAAGAGGTAATTACAGTTAAATAAGGTGGTAAGATTAGAGCCCTAATTCAATAGGATTGGTAACCTTATAAGAAATGGGGGGAAAAGAGACACCTCCCTTTCTCTTTCTGTGCATCATGGAAGAAAGGCCATGTGAGCACACAGTGAGATGCTGGCATGTGCAAGCCAGGAAGAGAGCCCTCTCCAGAAACTGACTTCCCGGCCTCCAGAACTGAGGAATCAGTTTCATGTTGTTTAAGTATTTTGTTTCTGCATCCTGAGCAGACTACTATACTTCGGCTCATCCTTTTCTTTGGAGAGGCCCTATGACTGATGGTTAAGG